TATATTTAATGTGTAACTAATTTCAAATTGATAGTATTTTTAATTAGGCCAAGCCATTGTATACATATGTACTAGAAGAAAAGATATTCCACTTGGTCATGGATGCTGATGTCTGTTTGTTTTTAGGTTTTGTGCTGCATGTAGGAATCACAATAGGTTCCCTTTTACTTTGGCCACACATACATAACTATGACCATGCCCAAATGGAAACCACCCTTTTTGAAATTAACCGTGGTTTTTACCTGTGCAATTATTTTTGATAATCTCACCTGACGATTATAGCTGAATCAGCATTAGAGTTTACTGATATTTTGCAACAAAACATGGACGCTTGGAAATACGAAACTAATTTCTCATGTTGAATACGCAAAATAAATTTCATATTTCTGAACATCCATGTACTGTATTATTCTCCATATCGTGCATGTTATACCTAGAAAATTAAATGCCTTATTGCTTTAATAAAGTTAAATGTACATAGCTGTGTGGTGTTTAGCACTGACAGATTATAGAGATATAGAAGGTTGTAACCATTTTATTTCACTTTCTTGCTAGCTACAACAACATCGTTATGACACATTCCATGCTTTGTAATTTCTAAAGTAAGATAATAACCCATAGTACTAAATGTTGTACTGAAACGGATGTGCTTTGCTGACACATCCAAGGATTTCATAATGGGCTTCAAATGACTTTTCAGTTCTCTTGCAATATATCCTACTTTATTGTAATTATCTGAAGCCATGAGATAAACAGCAATTGCATTGCTGTCGTTCACATTTTCTGGCTCCACAACAAGTTTCGCAAAGACATGTCGGTTGTACTCATGAAGCTAGGTATGTGTATGCCTCTTCAAGTGCATCTTGCCGACTAGTCCAATAACATGTTCCCATCACTTTAAAGGGTAGTGTATGCTCTCCACTGTAATCATCGGTTTCTTCACCAACATTCCGAACTTGCACTCTTGCAACTGACTGTATGGTGTTCTTTAATGGGCTTAGTGTCCATAGCACTACCAGGTCTTCATTATCCACCCTTATCGTGCAATGGCTTGAACAGCAAAATCTGCCTGGTTCAATGTCAATGTCAATATCCTTGTTTACAACGCCATTGCACTGCTGTCCATTGCTCAGTGTAAATTTTACTTTTTTAAAGTTTAAGGTTATAACTGGCAATGATGGAATTCTCCATGGGAATGAAGCATATTCGATTGATGTAATCGTGACTTTAATCTCTGTAGTGTCATCTGCAAAATGAGTAAAGCATGGTCTATATCTATATATCTCCTCAAAATTAACCATGTGAGCAAAAATTCACACCAAGTACACAAACAAAGGATGAAAGGAAGCAAATTCAAGTTGGAAGGGTACTATGGTCTAAAGGTCACCTCTTTGAACAGTTTAGCTGGGGAAAAGAGCAATGTGAAAAAATGTTGAGGACATATTCCCCACCCTTCACTTTATATGGCACTGATTATAATACAATTATAATACCTTCATTATTATGTTCTCTTTTTGAAACTGTAGATATATCATCACTATTAAAATAGATAAATATCAAAATGTTAAAGCAAATGTTAAACTGTAACCATAGAGACAATTTCAAACTTTGGTTGCTAGAATTATTATTAGAAGACTTCTTCCCGCCCTTAAGTTTCATACTGATAGTCCATTAGATGGCAATGTGTTCAGATGCACACAATATTATTGAACTCTGTCTAACATGTACACCAGAAGATTTTATTGTCTGTGGCAGGATAATGACTAAAATAACATTGCATATTTCACATAAATAATACATTACCTGCACTAATACTGGTAATGGAAAAGTGCTTAAAATAACATCCATTTCTTCCGGGTTGATATTACCAATTGAAACATTTAAAGATTTTTCCTTAGAAAGCAAGCTTGTTATGAATTAAGGAATCGCCAACATAATAGCAAATTTGATGATGATGATAAACTTTATTTAAAAACATGCTAGTCTTTTCAGCATACAAATGACACCAGACAGCACTTCTGTCATATAAATTGAAAGGATACTTTCCAAACATATTTTGTTGTGAGGTTGCCACTGGAGTATCCCTCCATTCACTCAAAGGAACAGTATGACTGTCTGATGGAGGAAAACAATTTTGGCTTCTAGAAACCTGTTTTTGTACCCTTCAGGGACATTTTTCAAATTCAACAAGGCCTTCATCAGATCAGCTTCTTCTACAACAAGTTTTCTTGCCTGGTTTATACCAATTCCTCGAATATTTGGCAAATAGTCACAACCCGCTACTATACACATTTTAAGAAATTTAGTTTGAGTCATGCCAAGATTTTCAAGGGCGTCACTCAATTCAATACAATCACACATTCCACTCGTTTCCATTTTGAACAAAACCTGCAAGATAAAGAATATATGAATATTGTTGTACATATAACATTTTTTGTTGTTATTATAATAAATGTAAACAATTAGAAACTGGTTGAAATTAGATGAGTGGGGGAGGGGGGTATAACCTAACTCATCCCCCCAATTTAGGCTTATTGCTGATACCTTTAGGAACTGGCTTTGTTTTGGCCCAATTTTACAGTTTGAGCTTCCTACTACCCTTTGTGGACATATATCATAGCTAAGGCTAGCGTTATGCCACCTTGGTTGTGCTAAAAGCTATCGTGAGTGTACTTCAATGATTTGAATTCTTGCACTTCACTTGGTGGATTTAATATTAGAATGTTAGGGTTTGTAATCCAAGTGAGAATATATACATTTTAAGACCTAACCAGGAACGAATGCGAAAAATGCAGCACAAGGCTGCATTTTTCGCAGTCGTTCCTGGTTAGGTCTTAAAATGTATATATTCTCACTTGGATTACAAACCCTAACATTCTAATATCGTGAGTGTAGACTTCATCTTGTCTGGGAAATAGAACCCCTCTTACCTTTTGGCATCCAAACGCAAGTAGGTCAGAATCTTCACTAATGGCAAAATCTAAAAAGGACAAAACAATAGACACTCCGAAAATAGTTAACATTTTATTCAACGTTTTGACTAGGTTTCAGTCATCATCAGGAATGACGCTGTTGAAAAATACTGAGATATATATTTACAAGTTAAGCGGATCAAATTACGCGCTAATTAAATATCAGAAGTTCCTTAGAGGCTCTAGTTCCGTGATTAAGTTCCGGTTTTTGGCGATGTATAAGTAAGGACTCCTTATATAACAATAATGACCAATGTCTAGATTTATCTAAAATAATAGTCCGACCTCTTCTCTCTTCCAACGTAATTAAATTCTACTCACGCTATGTTGACGACACATTGGTACTGATTAAACCTTGTGACATACCTAACGTACTAAAGAAATTTAATTCCTTTCACCTACTCATTAAATTCACACACGAAGAATTCACTGACAACAATGATGTTCACTTTCTGGATATCAAAATAACCTCAACTAGCACAACAATATACCGCAAATCCACACACACATGCCAATATATCCATCTCTCGAACTTTACTCCTTGGTGCAGAAAAACAGCTTGGCTGAGAGCCTTAGTCCACCGCGCACACAAGATCTGTAGCAACATCGACCTCCTAAAGAACGAACTACAAAGGATTGCTGTGTTTGCATCTTGGAATGGCTACCCTCATCACATGACCAACAAACTGATCAACGCATTTTCACCACCACCTCTGAACCACGACATTGCTCCTGACAACAACAACACTGAAAACGAGTAAACGCATCCAAAACCGCCCACAATCTGGATTCACCTTCCGTTCATTGGCAAGAGAGGAACTTCCCTTATACGCTCGTGTACCAACAAAATTTCCCGACTATTGATAGCCCGTCCCAAATTTATCACGATCTATGACACGACGAACAGCAACACCTATCTTAGCCTAAAAGACCGAACGGATAAAGAGCTCCAAAGTAGTGTTGTATACAAATTTAGCTGTCCTGGTTGTCAATTGTCGTACATCGGAAAAACTGACCGCTGCCTCAGAACAAGGATTAAAGAACACTCCTCCGACAAAAACTCAGAAGTTCACAAACATATTATGTCATGTGAACACTTCCAATATTACCAGACCCTACTAAACCTACCCAACACACTACTTTCTCAATTTGATCCACATACCACAGAAGCCATCATATACCAAAACTGTGTTATTTTAGATAAATCTAGACATTGGTCATTATTGTTATATAAGGAGTCCTTACTTATACATCGCCAAAAACCGGAACTTAATCACGGAACTAGAGCCTCTAAGGAACTTGTGATATTTAATTAGCGCGTAATTTGATCGGCTTAACTTGTAAATATATATCTCAGTATTTTTCAATAGCGTCATTCCTGATGATGACTAAAACCTAGTCGAAACGTTGAATAAAATGTTAACTATTTTCGGAGTGTCTATTGTTTTGTTCTTTTTAAAATTACTCAATGGTAACCGTAAATTCTGGCAAAATCTACTTGTCCATGTTTCATAAGATATGCAATTTTTGCATCTGCTTCATACGGGGCAACAGTATAATCGATATTTCTATCACGACACAACTAAAACAATAGTAAACATACAGGCGTATAAATTTGAGCATTATATATAAAATAAGTCTTCATAATTTTATATTACATCTACAGTAAATGTTAACACCGAAGTCCGAAGAGTATTAAGTAGCTAGAGTATTTCACTAGACTATAGTGACACTTACTCTGATAAATTCAGTTGTTATGGCGTATGTTATGCGAGTTTCTCCGGCCAATAGCTTGTTCGCTGCCACTACTTCACCTTCTTTTCGAAGCTCATTTGCTTTTGCTCGGATCTCCTCTCGGCGTCTATACATTGATACTTATATAAAAGCAAAAACGTCGGATAAATATTGTTATATTAACGTTGACCACCACGTGTGTGCTGTTGCATTCAAGCGGTCATAAAGTACAAATGAGATTGAAATCGATATGCGAAGTAATTTACATAAAAGTTGCGTCGACAAAGACGATACTCACCTTGTCCTTTTTACACGTTCAAGTTCTTTCGCTGGCAATCTTAATCCATCAAATACTACATATGGTTTGATTTCGTTTCTTTCAAGAAGATCGACGTATGAATTAAGAAGATCAAGTAATCTAAAATTGAACTTTTTTTCTTTTCAAAATAATGTTATAATTTTCTGAACAGATCAATATAAACAATAAACAAATAACTCATTGTATACTGAAATATATACCTGCTTTCGTCGCCATTTCGACTCATGCTTATTGATAGCGCTCTATGCAACAAACACGAAGCATCAACTGCAGCAGTTTGTCCTTTAAACTCTTCAAGGTTTGCTTTTCGTGTGACCTCCCGCAAGAAGGGTAATAAAGTTTTAATACCCATCGCTTCTTTCGCTATGGAGCTGTTCTATATTCGGCGTATCATATGGAAATGAGAAATTTTGTGTTTTTACCCATAATTCCGCGGAGCGTAGTGCGCACACCGCTTGCGCTCTAGCTATATCTATACAGGGTGTATAAAAAAAACTGAAGCCTTTCAAATTCAAATTAGCTATAACATATTGTAGTAATTTGACAGCTCTAATTGCCTTGAATTAATTGTTGGGTAAGAACACAAGGAATACTGTATTTCTTTTAAATTTTCTAATTTTTATTTCTTTGAGTTTTGTCTCATGAGTACAAGACCAGCAATTGATAAAACTAGAATAGTGAAGCGAATAGTGCGAATAGTCGACGAATAGTGCGAATAGTCCGCGAATAGTCGACGAATAGTGCGAATAGTCCGCGAATAGTCGACGAATAGTGCGAATAGTCCGCAAATAGTCGACGAATAGTACGAATAGTCCGCGAATAGTCGACGAATAGTACGAATAGTCGACGATTAGTGCAATAGAGACTTTGCAAGGCTTTCCACCGTGCTGTAGAACTAAATTTACCGAAGCGGGGCGGGGGGGGGCTCTATTGACAAACATGAAATCGTGAAAACATTCGTTGATGTCAATGACGTCATACGTAATCGGTAAAAATTACGGGACCACTGAGTTTTAACAAATATTTAACAAGAAGTAGAATGACAATCAGTGGCGCCGTGGGACCCATGTTTTTTTGGGGGTTTTTTTTTTGTTTTTTTTTGGGGGGGAAGGGCAGTACTTTTCAGACAAACCAAAAAAATTTTCCGACAAACCAAAAAGTTTCCCGGACGACAACCGTCCGCCCCCCCGTCGACAACTTTGACAATTTCCGACAACCGGCTTGACAATTTTCCGACAATTTCCGGCTGTATTGGCAATTTTCCGACGGGTGTCAACAATAGGGGAGGGCCATGCCCCCCTGCCCC